TCGTCCCAAGTGTACGTAGCCAAGGAAATCTTCCAGAGAGTGCGCACGCGACCGCAAAAATTCTCCACAACCACCCGATCGGAGGAGATGTCGTGGTTTCGATCCATGTCAGCTTCGTATATGTCACCATGAAATCAACTTGCACACGTTTTGGGTACGAACAGGATAGATTCACCTCCGAAAACGATGTGAGACGGCTGAAGAAAGTTGTGGACTTGGTAACTGTCAGTACAATGTACGAAGAATCAGGTAGTAGGAAAATTCCGAATAGTATGAGTGGGTGAAATTGTGATATTACATCACGTCGGAGATTGAGTAATTCGTCAGTTAGTCGATCTCTAATCATGTGGTGAGTTTTATTGGAAGTCGCATGGGTTATTTCCAATTTACTTGATCTGCTGCTCATTAACCCATCTACTGATCGTAAGGTTTATTATTTTTCGTGGACTGCCAGTATAATTCGTAATTTGCTCAGTTAGATTGGCAACATCCAATATATTTCGTGACGAGGCCAGATATTTCGAATGTTCACTTCAACTCGCTCTGATTGGTCAGAAAGCAGTGCGTGTAACCGTCTTTCGCGAACTTTTCAAGCCTTCGCGATGCAGCACATCCACGTAATCCCGACCTTCCCCTCATCCTCCCCGATGAACCTCCATCACCTCGAACCCAGAAAGCCCACACATACTGACCTAGTAACGTCTTCACACGGAGTTTCGTTGCTGACCACAGGTTCTCTATTGGATTCACCATGGATGAGTATGGACTACAGATACGCCCTGATGCCAGCAAAGCGACTACCTGTATTGCTTTGGAGACGTCGGGAGGTTTCTGTACTTGCCTAGTAGTCTTGGCTGACACGACCGATGGAGTTGCCCCAGACACCACGTAGTATATGAATGGAGTTGACTATCGAAGGAGTTGATGTGAACCGTTAGTATCGAACGCTCTCCATCTCGACCACAGAGCCGAAAACATACACATCGAAATGGTTGGAGCCTAGAGTCGTCACTCCTGCATATATATACCCATTGCGTTAACATTTATGCCAAATATATTGCTCTCGTCACGAAATATATTCGACGCTTGCGAACCTAACTGAGCAAATCACGAAATATACTGGCAGTCTACGAAATATAATGAGTGAATTCGATGGTCCCACGAAACTAAATGCCGCGGTCGCGAAATATATTGAATTTCCCCGAAATTAACAAATGGAATTCCACGAAATCTACCAGATATTTTTCGAAATTAACCGCAAAATGGTGTTGTTGTAGTACTACTTTGTTTCGACCTCGGTATCCGGGTATCGTGCATGATTTTCGAGTGTTTCGTGCGTCATGGCTGGTGGGAGGTGGTCGAGTTTGACTTGGAATTTGTATTGCATTCGACTGCTGCGCCTCTACGGGTATTGCCATTTCGTGCACTCGAAGGGAGCCAATGGCACGTCGGGGTACTTCGATTTACGGACGAATCGCGTGGGCCGGTGTCGTTTTGTGTATGCAAGACACCTGCTCTGCCATGATTACAATAGTAAGGTAGTAAAGTATTTGCATGGGAGACGACGACGACGTTTACCAACGGGGGAATGACTTTGCGTCGTACTTATTGTTGGTTTTCGCCGCCACAACACATGCCACCACGCCGCGAGCGGTCGACCACCACCATCGAGGTCGCGAAAAACTATACTCGCACTGAGTCGACCAAAAGCGATATACGACATAAACACTGTCCAATGAATCATGACCCACGGCCGCAGCCAAGGTGTGTTGGACTGCAACACGTTGAACCTGAGAACGTTTTCGTTTGACGACTTCACGCAGTTTTTGGAATGGTGCTACCAAACCAAACATATGGCCTCAACCTTGGGTTCGTATTGGAATGTCCTTGTATGAGAAGCAAGGCGTGGCCATCCCCAAGCCTTTCAATACAAGCTGCCACACATTATGAAGGGTACTCACGTTTTATCGCGACAGACATTGTGCAGGGTGTGCAAACGACCAAGTCGAAGCGTCCGTTGACGATCGAGGAGATGAAGCATCTAACGAGTCGCAGCGTGGCGCTTATGAATGCTGGTTGCACTCATGCGTCTTTTCTGATGGCGTGCAACCCGATGGGTCTGTCGGGAAGCACTGCATCGATTCAATTGAACAGCCAGTCGTGGGAAGATGACTCCCTGGGGGTCCAATTCTGTCGGCTCAAGATGGGTGCGGTCCAACATGCCGAGGCATTGCCGTACGAACATATTGAAGCTCAACTTGTGCGTGGTGCTTGCATTGAATTTGTACCAGGTAATGCACCCTACAATGGACCCCGAGCCGCACGATTGTGCCCTGCCATAAACCCCGGCGACAACATTGACCGGTCGTTCGCCAAGTTGGTCCACGCGCTGGTTGCGTTATACGGTGTCGACAGACTCCGCAATGTGGCAACACACGCGATCCGCAAGGGTGCCGTAACGTTCGCAACGTCAGGTTGCACAACGGGACAGTCGATCGGCATCTTAACGACTCGCGCCGGGTGGTCCTTACATACTGTACGTCCGTTCGCGGTCGCGTTCCACTGTGCTGCCAAAACCAGAAGTCGACCTGTCAAACCTCATATGGAACGCGAACGCGTAATCTTAAATCTGATTGCCAATCCGCTAAAAGTGCACATCTCACGGACTGGCAGTCCAGTCTGCTCCGTGATAACTGCATATGATTGGCCGGTTCTTGGCCAATCAAGAACTGCACGACCCTCCAACCAAACTTGACACGCCAGGTTTGAGCGGCGGGTGGTGCAGTTCTTGATTGCCATGGAGAAGCCTTAGCGCCGCCGCATCTTCAACGACAAAGAAGATGTCACTCTTCTTCTTCCAATTTCATTGGTCAAGAATTGCGCACAAAGCAGCCCGTGAACACCCAAACGTCTGGATCATGGTGTGGAACCGAGTTGGAAATGCCAGTCGGCCGAGCATAATACACATCGCTTCGTCCCAGGAAGCACGATATCGTTGAGTAGTCACCACAGCCGGGAGACCAAGTAGGTAGCCTAACCTCTTGACTCCCATGACGTCGAAGCGGAAGTCGAGCAGTGCGTTGGCGTCGGACACAGCATTGAGGTTATACCGGATGTCTCGGATAATAGTGCGCTCAACGTAGCTTAACGCACACAGAACTAAGAAACGACGTCGCTGTGTCGTTGTTTTGATCCTCGTCATCTCCATATAGAATCCTAGACAGATGCCGATCTTCAATTGCATATGTCCGAGTCGTGTGTCAATGTTGAGAAGCTTGAGTCCGCGAGATGTCTCGGGTAAGCCGATGTACATGCACAGCATGCCTCGTGGAGACTATTTGTTCGCACGAATGGGTGTGTTCACATGGGCATAGGCCACACATCCAAATACTCGGAGTCAAGCATAGTCTGGATGGTGTTGATGCCATATACGATATGGTGTGTTACTACTGATGTGATACTGCCTCGCCCCATAGAAACTGTGGCAAGTTGCCATGCAGTAGTATGGACCGGGCAATCGTAACGATGATGCCCATACGACGCTCGGCCACAAGATTCTGTGTCGGCGTTTAAGCATTCATATAGGCAAATACGCTTCCCGAGCTTCACATATTCGGCGGCGTTGTCCGTTTGGAGCGTTCGAAATCCCGAATTTCCTCTAAATCACTTAATGATGAGAGATGACAGCATAGATCGAGGATGTCAGAGAAATAGCACGTCCGTGCATCCCGGCATATTGCACTGTACTTTTCATACAGCTGTGCACGCCGTAGCATGATGTACAAAATGGTGTATCGAGTAAAATCGTCAATAAATGTCACGAAGTATCTACCCTCAGATATAGAGAGGGTGTTCGTCGGCCCTCAGATGTCAGCGTGCACTTGTTCGAGAGTCTCACGTATTGGGGAGTTTGTTTTTGGATAAGGGAAGTACCTTGGACCTTAGATATGTGTCACACGAGGTATTAGCCGTAATGGCTTGCCGTGAGATCCGAAAACGAAGAGGTTCGTATGACGCCGTCAAATGTACAGCTTGTCATGACTGGTGTGGCCCAATCGGTCGTTACACTGCATGTTGCACTGGACACTGGTCTTTGTCAGAAAGAAGGTCGTAGCTGGGTCATGCACATGACGGAGGGGTAGCGTAAGTATGATGTATAATCATGAGTGCAGCGTATAATCTGCATTGTACTCGCCATCGTACGTGTCTTGAGTCCACACGCTGCGATTGATGAAGACAATTCGGAGTCGATCCATGTGTAGGGCTCGACGAACGGAAAAGAGGGTAAATTGTAGTTCTGGGATGTGGTGGAAATATTTTCTAATTCGGAATTATACATCCTGCAGATAGATCACCAACGGGTCGCAGTTGGAGCCAGCGACGTATAGTCTAACTGTGCCGTGACCTACGATTTGAAGTGGGTGGTCATCCGCTGAACCAACTAGTGAGTTTCGTATGTGACAACAATTCTTGTTTGAAAGTGGAGTGCTTGGAAGCACCACTGTCGACTGTCCATATAGAGAGACTCGTTATTGTTGAACTATAGGACTAGTCGGTGACACACGAAGTGCCCAGCCAGTAGCTGTGTATAATAGTGACCGCGATATAAATGTATCGAGCGAATCAAAATGTGAAAGGAAGTCTTTTAGTATTTTTGAAAGTATTTTTGGAATTATGCTTGAAGTGTAGGTGGACCGGACTACCTGTTAAAACGTTACCGAAAACGAGACATGTTTTTGTTGTTCACGAGGTGTCTTTAATCTAGACAATGACGCCGATTGAATTTCATTTAATCTAGGTGTAGATAATCGAGGCATTGATGCCGACTTGTTGTCACTCCGTGTCGTAATTTTTGGCAAATGTGCCTGTTCATGAAGACTGAAATAACGAGTCTGGTCATGATGACGAGAAGTGTCGCTGCAATATACGCTACGACTATGACTACGATGGTCGTTTACTCCGGTATTTTCACCAGGGCCACCTTGGTGCGTGCCGCCACTGCGGCTCACCATTCATCTTGGACGGGGTATAGCTCCGGAGGAGTCAAACAATGATAACCATCATAGTAGGAATCATAGGGCGAAAATTACACTGCCGTATACAAATAAATATATATAAAAAATACCGAAGTAGTAAACGTATTTGATTGGACACACATTGCAATATTCTTGCCTAGACAATCCAGAAGAAGATTGTTGACAATCTGGTTCGAATGTGGTTCCAGCGACGAAACAAATGTCACAGGTCACCTTCAATATACCTGATGTCGAAGAAGTACAGAAGCGCAAAATGACCAAGAGTAGGTTAAAGTTTAGGCAATGCCTACTCGACGGTGAACATAGTACCGGCCGGTACAGTATGTGGAGCAAATCGACAGCAATCATGTGTATATTCACTTGTGAACATGTTGAACGTTCTACGTGGTATAATTAAATTACCTACGTTTGCCGACATAGGAGGAATAGAACTACAAGTTTGTCGGTAAGTATACACGATAGGTTTCGTGCCAAGTGTTGAAGAACTGCATTAATACTACGTAGTAGTTTTACACTGTACGTAGTACTTCCTCTGTTCCACATTACTTTTACGAAAGGAAAAACACACCTTTTCCACACTACTGTGAAGAAATAGACACTATTGGCTCGTAAAAGAATACAATGATTCGATTGGTCAGTAATTCCTACCCTACAAAAGCAGCGACACAGGGTAAGAAACATTCGACACCTGGAGACCAGAGT